TTTTTTTTTTTTTTTTTTTTTTTTTTTTTTTTCAAACGCTCACGTATCTTGCTAACACAATTCTATATGCGCGCACATTCCACATGTACGAACGTGAGAAAGAATAAGTCAATGGATAAAAAACACGACGATAGAGACAAATTAATATGACAATAGTAAGAATAATTATGGTTTTTTTTTTATTTCTATTTTCTTCATTAATTATATTTTAATTATTTTCTTTTCCGTTTTGTTTTGTTTATGCGATTCGTTGGAAAAATAATTAACCGAAAAAAACGAAATTATTTGTTACGTATGAGCGTATGAAGTGGAACATTGGCGCGATTAGGCTGCTTAACGATATTATTTATTGTTATCATTATTATTCTTACTATTTTTCTTTCTTTTCTTTTTGTGTTCTTATAATTGTTAATATTACTGTTCTTCTTCTTCTTATTGTTATTATTAATATTATCATCATTAGCATTATCTTGACGGATATCTTATGATAGTACAAAACAATAAAAATATCAATGCGCACGGACAGATGTGAGAGCATATAGACGAGTAAATTTACGTTTCACATTCATCAATATACCCTTGACACTTATGCAATCGAGAGCTACTCGCAGCACACGACGACGAATAATAATAAAATACATTGTACCGTGAAAACAGAGAGATACAGAGGTAAATTCGAAAAAGATAGAAAGAGAAAGAGAGAGAGAGAGAAAGAAATAGATATGACAGTAACAGTTGCGTTTCATTTCCACGATTAATTAACATACGAGCGATTTTGGTAAGTATTATTTCTTTCGTAATTATTTAACACGTCATCGTGTTACTTGATATGAGTAACTTTGAATAATTATCATGGGTTATCACGAAACCGTTGAATTTCGATAAACTGTCAACGAAGCAGAAAATGTGAAAGGATAACAGATGGAAGATTATTGCTAATACAGCAAAGTGATTAAATGTTACGAGAAAATATTTCATTAGTCAATTTACAGGTGTATGAGATATATATGTATATATATATATATATGTTATAGTTAAAAGTAAATTGAAAAAACAAGTAGAGCAAGATAAAGAGAATAATATTTGCCTTATATAAAGAAAACATATTGAAATATTCGTAGATAGAAAATTTCGTTTTCTCGAAAAAATTAATATTCTTATATTTTGTTTTCTTTTTTTACTTGACGTATGCTCATGAAAGATTCAATGATTTAGTTTACAATAAATAAAACGTAACAAAAATTGAAATAATTTATAATAAATAAATAAAAATACTGACACGTTTCGCGATAATAGACGAGTTAAAAAAAAACTTAGAACATTTTTTACGCACACATATTAACGTCGATTCATATTATATAATATAACGATTCTATTACACAGATGTTAATAATAATGAAATTATTTTTCATTATACTTTTATACTTCTTCGATAATAATAATCGGGAGATAGATTAGAATCGGTAGCAACCAACTCGAGACGACGAGAGCTTTCCATCATCAAACAAGAAACAGATCACGTTAAAAGTCAACTTTGTTTGAGATCAATCAAAATTCGTCGCAAATTTTTTTATCTTTTTTAATAATTGTTAATCTCGATCAACGACGACGTGTATTTAGTTTGTATCTCTTATCACACAACAACTTTGATAAACACTCAAACTCAAACGTAGAAATAATCAAATCAATTGTTTAACGTCATTCAAAACGATGATGAGGATGTTTCACCGAGATATTTCGTTCATTTTCAAATTTTGCAAACTTTATTTCTTTTTGTGCGCGCAGTGGAAGACGAAAATCGTTCGATTGGAAAAAAAAA